ATAAAACTAATTCTTCTCTACTGAATGTAAGAGAGTGGAGATAGAATAGACAGTAGAAACATACATACACATGCACACATTATATATACACACATATATTATAATATATATATATAGAGAGAGAGAGGGAGACAGAGTTTGAATTTCACATAATTCCTTTTGAATGAAAGAACTGATTAAAACCTGCTGGAGTATTTATATTTTCCTTGCAAAATTTCTGGAGACTAAAAAATTGCACCTTGCATCGTCCAACACCTTCATAACCAATAAGTGACATTTTATGCTAAAGTTTTTTTTTTGAGACAGAGCCTCACTCTGTCACCCAGGCTGGAGTACAGTGGCAGGATCTCAGCTCACTGTAACCTCCGCTTCCCGGGTTCAAGTGATTCTCCTGCCTCAGCCTCCCAAGTAGCTGGGACTACAGACACATACCATCACACCTGGCTAATATTTGTATTTTTGGTAGAGACGGGGTTTCACTACATTAGCCAGGCAGGTCTCAAACTCCTGACCTCATGATCCACCCTCCTCAGCCTCCCAAAGTGCTTGGATTATAGGAGTGAGCCACTGGGCCCAGCATAGGCTAAAGTTTTGACACCATAAGCATGATAGCAGTCATTCCCATTGCCAGTTTAAATGTACACCCTTGTTTAAAAGGCTAGAATGCATCTTAGCGGAGAAGGTATGTTGAATAATGTCAATACACAGCTTGTTAAAACTGACAATGGATCCTCAGAAGGTGTCAAACAGGAGCAGAACACAGCCTTTATCCTGCCCCAGGTTGCTTAAAACTGAAGTGTGGTAAATTGGGCATGTCTAAAATGGAACTGTCATGCTTAGAAGGTCTAATATTGAATCTTTCCCTACAGATTTCAAACAGACTAATATATCTGGGCACTTGAACTTTTCTTGGGTTATAAAGCACCTGAAAAATAATACTTATTAGAGTTACTAAAAATGCCCTGTGAGACAAAGGAGCAAGTAAAATTATTACATGACAAATTATGTCCTTCTACAAATATCCATATACTTCTAGACAATTTCCTTTCACCGTTTAATTCCAAGGATGCAAATAAGGCAAATAAGTTTCTCTTTGAAGATTACCTTTCTTCCCTGATGCTTCATGATGGCTGTCTTTTTTATGTTCTTGAGAAAAAGTGTTACTTTGCTGTCACCCAGCCTGAAGTGCAGTGACATAATCATAGCTCACTGCAGCTTTGACCTCTTGAGCTTCAGTGATCTCCCACCTCAGCCTCCTGAGTAGCTAGGAATACAGGCACACACCACCATAGCTGGCTAATTTTTTATTTTTATTTTGTAGACATAGTGTCTCAGCAGGTTGCCCAGACTGAACTCAAACTCCTGGCTCCCTGCAATTCTCCCACCTCAGCCTCCTCAAAGGGCTGGGATTATAGGCATGAGCCACTGTGCCTGGCCATTATGGCTGTCTTGAGCGCTGAGTTGAAAAGGCATCTGAGGCCATTTCTAGGCTAAAGCTAGAGTATCACAATCCAGGCTGACCAAGGAGGTCTGGGTAAATGCTGTCAGCACCGAGTCCAGGTGCTGGCTGTGGCCTGAACTTCTGGATATGGCACTGACCTACACTATCTGTCTCTGTTTGAGGTCATGTTCAGTATAGTTAATAAGTTAAAATTTTGTGGATTTGCAGGGAAAGGTTTATTACTGAACTAAATTCATCTTCCAGTCTGATGATATTACAGCATAGAAAAAATAACTCTAATGAAATCAGGATAGAAGAGTCAAGACTGTACATTAAAAGGAACCTAACAGTGTATCCTGAGTAAGGGAGATATAGAAACAATAAAATAAAACATCAAAACAAAGAAGACAGCAGGTAATGAATTTGAAGCAAATGATGGATCACAGTGGTTAAGGAAATAGCAAGAGAGTTCAAGGGCCAGAATCTGGAGAAAGTCTATGAGATAAGAATATACAGAGGAAAGGAGCCCTTTTTCTATGCCTAAAGTTGAAGCTGTGAATGGAGAGAAAGCTATTCAAGGTGAAAGACCAAGTTGGACTCTCCAAATATTGCTAATAAAAGATAACTAAAATGGATTTGACTGACAATTGCAGAGAAGTGTCTGGTACCCAGTGTGCCAAATATTATGTAAAAAGGAGGCTGGGTGTGGTGGTCATGCCTGTAATCCCAGCACTTTGGGAAGCCAAGGCGGGTGGATCACTTGAGCTCAGGGGTTTGAGACTAGCCTGGCCAACATGGTGAAACCCCATCTCCACTAAAAGTACAAAAATTAGCTGGGCGTGGTGGTGGGCACCTGCAGTCCCAGCTACTTGGGAGGCTGAGGCAGGATAATTGCTTGAACCTGGGAAGTGGAGGTTGCAGTGAGCCAAGATCGCACCACTGCCCTCCAGCCTGGGTGACAGAGTGAGACTCTGTCTTAAAAAAAAAAAGGAAAAGGAAAAGTGTAGGTATGCTACATACAACAAAATAAGAACTTATATGATTTATAGGACATTAAATAAAATAGGTTAACTACAGATAAATATGCACTGCCATGTATTTTCTTCTTTATCCAACCTTAAACATGTCTACAACAGGAGTTCTTAAAGGTAAATGAGTTGAAAACAATGTACTGAATAATGCCCGCCTATCCCCTCCCCTCACCCCCTGGAAATAGATTCTGTCTTAGAGCCTGGAGAGGAAGTGCAGCCCTGCCAATATCTTATCACTCAGTGAAACTCATTTTGGACTTGACCTCTAGATAATAAATATGTGTCATTTATAAGTCACCACATTTGTAGTAATGTATTACAGCAACAATAGCAAACAAATACACTATGCAAACTAATAACATTGTTATTGGTTAAATGGAATGTTTATTTTCAATAAGAGATAAAGAATCTGACATAATTTCATGTACTTGCATAGCACGAAGTGGAAATAGATTCAAATTTATTTTGTCTTAAGTTTCCTGGAGATTGGGAGACAGGGGTATATATTTTTTAATGAACTCATATGGCTAAACACAAAGACACGTCCTGAGTGTAATCTTTAAATATTCAACATCACCATTGTTTAAACCTTCAAGATTCCAGGGCCTATACTAAAAATGTAGGAATTGGATGAGGAAAATGTCCTCGGAGGGAATTTAAAGGAAGAGAATACTCATAAAAGATGACACGGGCGGAGAGTAGAGTTGAAAGTTCAGCCCCAATGCACAGGAGGGTGCTGAGAATGAGAGAAAGCACTTGCTAGAAACTTCCAAAGCAGAAATATTTGCCGTAAAGGAAAGGTAGGTGAGAATCATGTATCTAATTAAAAAAAAAAAAAAATTAAAGAGCATCTCTGAAATCTACCTGGAAAGACATTTCTACCTCAGATGGTTTGTAATCAAGTTTCCTTGTATTTCTTATGCCTATTTTATTCAACCTGGAGACCATTTTTGCTCTTCTAGATTTTACAACCCACTTAGCTCAACTTGTGTACTCAGAAAAATAGTCTCACTTCATGCTGAGCATGTAGGTTGGATATCAGTTCTACTTTTCAGGTGAATGGTAAGAATTTTAGGAGTTCAATGAGAAAGTACAGTGACTGGTGAATTCTAACTCCCTAAACAACTAAGCAAGCAATGAATTGCACCTCCAAAATGATTGATTGAGCCCTGGATCAAAGAAAGGGTGTGTGTCTTTATGTGTATCGTAAAAGAGGTTGGTAAGGAGATAACTGAGTTGGGAAAGACTGAATTTCTTGTAATGCGCTCCGTATGTTTTTTTTGACAGATCTCATCTTGATTGAAGAGGCTGCATGTCTCTGGAAAGCACCACCTCATTCTGCGTTGAGGAATAATTTTGTGCCTGTAGTCAAGCTAACACCCCACCCACCCACCCACTGCAACTCCTCACACACACACGCTGAGTTAGAAAAACATGCGCATCCCTGCTTCATTATTCAACCTCAGTGATATCTATGGCTTTCTCTTCAAATACTCTGTCGACGAATCACTGACCTGCCGGCAGACAGCAGTTGATTTGTTACACAATTCAAAGCCCAGATCTCTGGAGATTAGAGATTGCTGGGAATACTAGTGTAGTTATTAGTTAGCACCAAAATGTCCACGATTTCATAACTGGTGTTTCAGAACTGCCACCCCACCTCTGTTTCATTATATAACCCTAGAACAGCAAACAGACAGTGCTATGGGATGAGGGAAAAGGGAGACTAAAACAACGTTTCAGAAATGCCAGTAATTCCCCGGCCAAAACAACGTTTCAGAAATGCCAGTAATTCCCCGGCCACTCTCATGATTTGTACCAATGTCATGCACCATTGGTACAATTATTTATATAGTGTTAACCCTTAAATTGACTCACTGTTTTTACTTGGTCTCATCCTAACCAGATAATAACCACAACAGCATAGATTTAAAGGATGAATAACATTTTCAATGCTCATTAAAATATATCCATAACTGACACAATAAAAAACTTGTCCACATACAACCTTAAAGCATGTTACATGCCTTATAAGTCACACTTTGGGAAATACTTAACTGAAATCAGTTTCAGCTCAGACTTCTAGGATTTCAGACTCAGTCCAAAATATGCAAGCTTAAGATGGATGAAAAGGAAAGAGTGGGAAATTATCATTACAGACTCCCTCCTAAATAAACCATTGTTTCACTCCATTTTCCCACATGCTTATTACTAGTAGATAACATTCAAGTACCAGCAGCTGTTAGAAGAAACTAAAAGGGAAAGAAACAGGCATTAAAAAAGAAAGGAAAACATGAATCTGACAACTGAAATGGAATCTGCTTGGTTTTCCACTATTCCTGTATGTTGTGGGTTGAAAGGCTAATAGCAAAATATTGTGATTTTTAAAACGTCATAATTATAGGATCTTGAATCATGTTGTCATCGCTCCATGCTTTTGCCTTTGTCTCTCTTTTAATCTCCTTAATGTACCATAATTATGTCTTCAGTGTGGGTCAATTATATTTGAACTAGAAAACAAATTACCATCATTACCTCTGATTATTCTTCTCTTTTCTTTGATCCTATTTTGTGCAGCAATCAGAAATTTTGTGTTCATTCAGCCCTTCTCTTCCCCAGTTGCCTTGTTGGCGGAGCTGAAATACAGAAGAAAATAATCCCTCTGCCATTTCCAGTGTTATCTTTTCCCTTCATCCCACTCTTCAAACATTTTTGGGGCCCGCACACTACCAGAATATGTTCAAATGATCTTATTACCAAAGTAGCTCTTGGCTAAGATGGCCTTTTAGTCACAGTGCCCCTTTAATCCTTTTCTTCACCTCCCTAACTATATTTACAAAATCCAAATTAGTACACAAAGGCTCATTCAAATTGCATTAATATCATAAAAAGCTACTGTATCCTAGTGTCAATAACCCTGAGATTAATAGTCCCCAAGACTTATGTGACACAGAAAATTAACAAGGCTGGCTTGACCAATGATCCATGAATTATGACGGGCTCTCCACTGTGATTTAGTTGAAAATAAAAAGGTAAGAATGGGGATGACAGAAATTATACTCAAGAAATAGAGGCCTGGTGGCTCAAGCCTGTAATCCCAGCACTTTGGGAGGCTGAGGTGGGTGGATCACGAGGTCAGGAGATGGATACCATCCTGGCTAACACAGTGAAACCCCGTCTCTACTAAAAAATACAAAAAATTAGCCGGGCGTGGTGGCGGGCACCTGTAGTCCCAGCTACTGGGTAGGCTGAGGCAGGAGAATGGCGTGAACCCGGGAGATGGAGCTTGCAGTGAACCGAGATGGTGCCACTGCACTCCAGCCTGGGGGACAGAGTAAGATTCCGTCTCAAAAAAAAAGGAATAGAAATATTCAGGTTTCCTTAATCAAGTTTTCTGGACAGGTGTCGAGTGAAACCAAGAGGCAAGGTGATGTGTTTGCTTTCTCTTTACCAAGAAGGAGCATAAACAAGGGCTGGAGGAGCATCAGTGACTCATTCTTTTGAGAAGTCTTCCCAGTTATGGGGCATGAAACATCATGATGATATATCTTGCCCCATATTGACAAGCTGATTTCCCAGAAATCCCCATAACAAATTGGAAACACATCCTTAACGCCAAGCCATTGATATTTGATATTTGGATTTGTTGTGCAGCAAAATGGAAGTGGGAAATGGGGTTTTACAGGAGCAATGTCCTCTAACTCATGCTGGCTGGAGCCCTGTATTTAAATCAAAACCTTCACTCCTGCCACATTTTACTTCCACTTCTGCATGTTATGAGGTGCTTTCCTTCTGCTGTTTATTCCCCTTCATTTCTGGTAGCCCAGAATCTGCACTGGAGAACAGGGGAAAAATCTAAGAAATATAGTCCACTGTAGCACCTACTCAGCAAATAATACAATAAGTACTTATTACTTGCAACTCAACAAATAAATCCCTGGTGTGTTGCAGGTGCCAGGGTACAAGACTCCTCTGTCTTTGTTCAATGTAACTGTTAGGTTTGGGGCAGGGGGTAGGAGGACTGTGAGGCTGGAATGAAACAGAAATACTTTACATTTCAGATGAAAAATAAGCCCTCTTTAATGATTGAGTCATGAGAGAGGGAACACGCTACAATTCAGCCCACACTAGAATTCTCATACTGCCTTGTTCCAGCTGAGTGACTTTGAGATCACATAAACTCTACGCATATGTTGGTCCCTGCTCTGGCTACCTCACAGGGCTTCTGTGAGGATGCTCCTAAGTAATGCATAGAAAATGGTTAACATTAAGATATTGTGTACAATAAAATATTGTGCACTGAGGTTGAATAAATATTGTGCTTAAATAACATGATCAGCCTATTCCGCCTCACTTTAGGTGGAAGAAGGAGGAAAGCTCTACTGTGTATTACATGCATGTGACACTCAGATAGGAGATTTTCTCATTTAAACCTTATAATATGTAAATGAGCATAAAATTAATATCCTGATTTTGAAGCTAAAGAAAATGAAGCTCCAAAAAGATTGGTAATCCGCCCTCTTTTGTATATTTAATGTACTGATTCATTCAACAAATATTAGGTGTTATTGTTCTAGGATACAGGTTGGCTATAAACTACACCTCACAGGCAAAATCCTATTAAACATCTGTTTTTGCAAATAAAATGGAGCAAATGAAGTTTTATTGGAACACAGTCACACCCATACTATGGTTGTTTCACACTACATTGGCGAAGTTGAATAACTACAAGAGAAATCATATGGCCTGCAAAGCAAATAAAATATGTACTCTCTGGGATTTTACAGAAAAAAAATAAATGCTAATCACTCTTCTAGGAGCTTGGGATACAGCAGTAATGAAAATACGAGGAAAATTCCCTGCTCTTGTGGTGCTTACATTTTAGTGGAGGGCGACAGTCAATGTAATGCACTTAATTTAAAAGTTAATCATTTTCTCGAAGTTCTGGAGGCCAGAAGTCTGAAATCAAAGTCAGCAGGACCACACTCACTAGGAAGGCTCTGAGGGAACCTCCTTCCTCACCTCTTCCAGCCTGCAGTGGCTCCAGGCATTTCTTGCATAACTCGAATGTTTATTGTGTTTCTTCTCCCCTGTCTCTCATAAGGACATTTGTCATTGGATTCATGGCTCGCCCAGATAATCCAGGATGATCTCATCTCAAAATCCTTTGTTATATCTGCAAAGCCTCTTTTTCCAAATAAAGTCACTTTCACGGGTTCCAGATAGAAATATTTGGGATGGACACCATTCCGTCCTCTGGGGTAGCAGAAGTCTGGAAGGTTTGTTTTATTTTATTTTATTTATTTATTTATTTATTGAGACAGGGTCTCCTCATTCTCTCACTCAGGCTGGAGCACAGTGGTGTGATTAGGGCTTACTGTAGCCTCAATCTCCAGGGCTCAAGTGATCCTCCTACCTCAGTCTCCCGAGTACCTGAGACTACAGGCATGTGCCACCATGCCCAGCTAATTTTTTTATTTTTTGTAGTGATGGGTTCTCGCTGTGTCATCTAGGCAGGTCTCAAACTGCTGGGCTCAAGAGATCCTCTTGCCTCATCCTCTCAAAGTGCTGGGATTACAGGCATAAGCCACCATGCTCAGCCTAAGTTTTGTGTTAGACATACTAAATATGAGACTTCTCTTAGTTAACTAAGTGGAGATGTTGAGTAGACAACATATGGACCTGGAATTCAATCACACGATGGTAGAAACCAAGAGTCCCAACCATATTTTTTCTTTACGCCTGCTTGCTCAGTTATTATGTGGTCTCCCATTCACAGAAACAACTAGTAAAATGACCCTTGATATGCGGTAATATGACCTGCCTATGCCATTCCCAATGTTGATGTCCTTGGGTATAACAAAAACAGGCCCCTCCTTTCTCCTTTAAAAGACGGTGTGGACTTGACTGAGCAAGACAAGATTCTTAGGGGTAGGAGGAAAGTGGCATTGTTTATTTCCCTTTGGTGATTATATCAAGCTTAGCAAAGCCCAGAAGACACTATAAATGCAATGGTTTGATTGTTCCTGGTTCCCACCTTGTGAAACACCACGAACATTTACAAGCTGGGGTTAAGGGTCTACCAATAGTTTGGAAGAGCAACTTTCTCTGCCCCACAGAGAATACATGGCTTTGCTAGCAGCATTTTCTAACCCATGGAGATAACTAACTGACAAGAAATCTGAGCATTAGGTCACTTGATACTGAGTCAACATAGAAATTCTGCCAAATCAAAAACTTCAAAGCTCAATATATTAATGAGCTTCTGGAGTCTCTGAAGACCTCTTACTGGCCAGAGAAAAGATCTATCGAATTATCTTCTCTTTAATTTAAAGTGAAAATTGATGCTATCTGGGTGTCAGGTATAATCATCTTAATTTATTGTGGAATATGTAAGGGACCGCTGAAAGTACGAGTGATCCAATTATAGGTTTAAACGACTTTGAGGTTCCTTGTTTCCCCCAGTCTTATTCATGAAGCATTTTCACTTTCAGACAATCAAGAGTTATTTATATAGGTTTGGGGCTTATTGATATAGCTAAAAAGCCCCCAGAGGTAGAATTCCAACTGTTTACTGAAAAACACTGAATTTGATATATCAAAAATCTAATTTAAATATTAGCAATGGACTCAAAGCTACTCTTAATAAGTAACAAAAGAATGAATCACTTGGGACAGAATAACCCCATGGAAGGATGATCAAATGTGGCTCCTTCCTCCAAAAGGTTTCTGGCTCCATTTTCCAGAATCTGCAGGGATAGAAAATATCCTCATCCAATGGTGTGTTCAGTGACATACATGAGTTTGTAACATCCCTAAGCTCCTATCAGATAGGAAACATTAGGAAATCATTGAAAAGCCTGGTTTATTTTCTCAATCTGGGCAACAAAGGTGCATTGAATCTGCTCTGCCACCTTATTCTTCCAGAACAGAAATGAATACAATTGAGAGGACTCAGAAAGGTTAGGCATAAGAGAAAGAGGGCAAAGTAACACGTCCAGCCCCATAAGTATGACTCCTTGTTCTAAGGGAGATACTATTGCGCAATCGTTGAAAGAATAGGCATGTGCATTAGAAGAGCAGTTGTGAACAAGTATGTGTTCTGTTATTTGCCTCTTCTGTGACTTTAGACAGTTATTCAACCTTTCTAAGCCTCATGTCTTCAAGGGATAAAACATACTGCATATCTCATAAGGCCTTTGTGAGGGCTAAATGTAAAGAATATATCACCCAGCACAAAGTAATTGATTTTAATTGCAGCTACAATAATTATTATCTGAATAATAAAAGCAGGGCTGTAGTTAGGTGCTGACAATTCCAAACTCTTCTGTGTGAGCCAAATATCCATTGATTAATTCTCAGACCCAGTCACCCCAAACACGGGACTTTGATGAAAGGCCAAATCTTCTGAGAGTGTGATCTGAAGTTTATTCTCCTATTAGTGAAAGTGGGAAAGTTGTTTTTCTTCATTTTTATGATTTGGCTGAGATCTAAAGGCCTTGGGGCACCTGGCACAGAGAACTCAAAGTTATTATTGAAAACTGAAAATTTTGATGAACCTAATAGCCAGAGGCAGATCAAGTCCACATGGCATGAAAGTAGGGCAATGAGAAAAGCAGGGTTGTGATAACAGTCA